CTTCATATGTTTGTTGGCCGCTTGAATATCCTCCTTGGTGAAGTGTCTATTCATGTCTTCTGCCCATTTTTTAATTGGATTGTTTGTCTTTTTGTTAGAACCACCAGCTTTCTGATTAGCAGTCAAATGTCTTATGAGGTAATTGAAAATACCATGAGTTGGGTTAGGCGCACCTTCATTTTCAAAGAGACATCTTTGCTCTTCAGCACATTAAAGAGGTCTTTTATAGCACATTTGCCCAGTGCAATAAGTCATCCGATTTCTTGACTGCTGCTTCCATTGGTGTTGATTGTGGAGCCAAGTAATATGAAATCTTTGACAACTTCAATCTTTTCTCCATTTATTGTGATGCTGCTTAGTCGTCTAGTTATGAGGATTTTTGTTTTATGTTGAGGTGTAATACATACTGCCGACTGTAGTCTTTAATCTTCATGAGTAAGTGCTTCAGGTCATCCTCACTTTCAGCAAACAAAGTTGTGTTGTCTGCATATCGCAAGTTGTTAATGAGTCTTCCTCCAAACCTGATGTCTTGTTCTTCTTCATATAGTCCAGCTTCTTGGGTGATTTGCTCAGCACACATGTTGAATAAGATGGTGAAAGAATACAACCGTGACACACTCCCTTCTAGATTTTAAACTGTGCAGTATCCCTTTGTTGTGTTTGAATCACAGACTCCTGGTTTATGTTCAGGTTCTTCATGAGCACAATTAAGTGTTCTGGAATTCCTGTTCTTCTCAATGTTACCCATAATTTGTTGTGATCCACACAATTGAATGCTTTTGCATAGTCGATAAAAGACAAGCAAACATCTTTCTGGTATTCTTTGCTTTCAGCTGAGATATAGAGTAAGTGCTCAGTAAGTGACAGTTATTTTCATGACTATTAAAATTGAAGTTCATGGTAGAGACCCTAGGATGGAAATAGTGGATCAGAAGAATCGGTACTGGTCTCTCTCCCCAACATTGGTTTTTGTCAACTGTAGTTTTGAGATGAATTTTTTTTTTTTATTTGCTTATCAAAATTTAAAAACCTGTGGTCATTTTTTGTAGATTCATGTATCAGCCTCCTTAAAACAAATGAACCCAACAAGGGTTATGCTTCTCTTTTGGTTTTTGTGGTCCAGGTGTGAGAAGTAAAATGGGAACTAGATTGTTTGTCCCTCACCTTCATAATGTGTAGTGGGAGAAGACCAAGCCCAGGTACAAGATTCTCTTAAGCTCTGTGAAACTTTGTGGAAAGGCTGAGGTGTTTCACTCACGTGTTGCTGAGGCATTATTTGGAAAGGGAAAAGACAAGTTTCCAGACCAAAAAGGGCTTACTTAAAACCTTTAAAGAGTCTGCGTAACATATCGCTTTGGAACACTCTCAGTTCATTCATCCATTCATTCAGCAAATATTTAAGGAATATTTATAAGGAGTCTTGGTGATGTAACAACAGTTAAGCACTCAGCTGCCAACCTAAAGGTTGGAGGTTCGCATCCACCCAGAGGCTCCATGAGGGGAAGACCTGACAATCTGCTTCCATGAAATTGCAGCCAAGAAAACCCTGTGGGCAGTTCTACTCTGTCACATGGGGTCACAGTGAGTTTGAATCAATTTGTGGGCATTGGTCTTGGTGCTTGCATCTATTTTTCTGAAATAATTACAGGTGATTTGGGAAAAAGATTACCTTCTACAGCTAGTTTGCTTTGGAAGTCAGTATTTTATAGAAGTTTTATTACTTAGTTTAAAACATATGTATTTAACACTATTTTATCTTCCACTTACATTTTCTGTGGGAGCTCTGGTAGCATAGTGCCTAAGGCACTTGACTGCTAATCAGAAGGCTGGCGGTTCAAACCCACCAGCCACTACTCGGAAGGAAGGTTGGGCAATCCTACTTCCGTAGTGATACTGCCTCGGAAACCCAAGGAGGGGTCGCTATGAGTCGGGGCCGACTC